ATACACAAAACTATGATCCACTGACCAGGTTAAACACCAGGTGCTCCATACTTCACAATCCACACAATGCAATGATCCACTGACCAGGTTAAACACCAGGTGCTCCATACTCCACAGTCCACACAATGCAATGATCCACTGACCAGGTTAAACACCAGGTGCTCCATACTCCACAGTCCACACAATACAATGATCCACTGACCAGGTTAAACACCAGGTGCTCCATACTCCACAGTACACACAATACAATGATCCACTGACCAGGTTAAACACCAGGTGCACCATACTCCACAGTATACACAAAACTATGATCCACTGACCAGGTTAAACACCAGGTGCTCCATACTCCACAGTCCACACAATGCAATGATCCACTGACCAGGTTAAACACCAGGTGCACCATACTCCACAGTACACACAATGCAATGATCCACTGACCAGGTTAAACACCAGGTGCTCCATACTCCACAGTCCACACAATACTATGATCGACTGTGCGGTTTAAACACCAGATGCACAATACACCCCCATCCTGACAATATCCTACCCCATTGAATGGATTAAACACCAGGTACTCCACACTCCACACCGTCTCTTTAGAAGTCATTAATTTACTTTGTTAACAAGCTTCTTCCATTGACATTTATGGAAGAGGTTTAATATCCTTTTTACATATTTCATTTGGGTTACTCTTCAATCTGAAAATGAGTAATCGTCCTCTTTGAACACCCCACCCCACCCCATACAACTCCACGCCCCACCCCCTACCCCTCGTCATACGATATCTCCCTAAATAATCAAATTCACACCCGTGAAGCTCCGGGATAGAATTCTCGCAAGGGGCGACTAATGAATTAGGTGGTCAGGCTCGCTGACTTGGTTGACACATATCATCGTATCCCAATTACGTAGAGAGATGCTGATGCTCTTGTTCACTGGATTGTGTGGTCCAGACACGATTATTTACAGACCGCCTTCATATAGCTGGAATATTGCTGAGTGCGGCGTAAAACTAAACTCACTCACTCCCTTTTGCACACTGATTCCTGGTTAACGTTTAGTTCCAGCTTGGTAATCAACACGTAACAATACACTAATAACTGTTTAGCGAAGTTCATGCATGTAGAATATTATAGATTTGAAAGCTACGCATAAACGTAGCTCTTGAATGTATGCTTTTAAAAGCTACGTTTAGCGTAGTTCATATATCTACACTAATTTTCACCTGAGACCTAGGCCTAAATTTACAAATTTGAAAGCTACGTTCGGCGTAACTCTAAATTGTTTTTCGCGTAACTTACGATATTCGTAAATCTATGAATGACGTACCCTTTTAGTGCCGTGATCATACCCAATCACACAGAAACACCGCTGAGATTTGCTATTGACGGCAAAATGTATATTTGCCAGGGATCAATCAGGTTAAGATGACATAGAAAAGCTATTATTGGTTTCTGTGAATTTGATACATTGCTCAAACTCACGGTCTATCAATTATTGAAATATTCAGAATATTAATAGATAGTTTATCCCATTTAATCTCGTTAATGTCCATTGATTATTACATAACACTATACCTGGTCTTTTACTCTCTATTGCTGAGAGATTTTATGATCCTACAATGCATAATGTATTTTGTTTTAAAACGTATAACTTTTCGTGAACACCTTGTATCATCACTATTTGATAGTGACACATTAACACATGCTCATCGTATCGCATGGAAATAACCACTGGATTAAGAGTGAGTGAGTGAGTATGGTTTTACGCAGCTTTTAGCAATATTCCAGCAATATCACGGCGGGGGACACCAGAAATGGGCTTCACATATTGTACCCAAGTGGGGAATCGAACCCGGGTCTTCGGCGTGACAAGAGAACGCTTTAACCACTGAGCTACCAACCGCCCCCTGGGTTTAAGAAGTACAGTTCGCTGTAGCCCCATGTATTGTGTTATAATTATGGATGTCACGATACATAAGTTTCATGAATCGATAGGTATCACGATACCCATGTCACAATTCGATACATATTACTATACCTATTTTCGCGGCATTATTGCGTAAATTTAGTTACATTTTGAACATTAATATTTCATATTTTATAATTGTCCCATGAAAAGATCAACATATTTTATTCTCAAAGATTACAAAGTTCTAATTTCCCATCTTTGTGCATGACAAATAATCATTTATAACTCTCATAACATAACAAAACCATGATACTATTGCAAAATGTAAACGATACATAAACATATTGAAACCGATACTGTCAAAACTAAATATCGTCTTAGAAAAAGTATCGATGCATCGGTGTATCGTGCCATCCCTAGTAATTAACCACACTTTGGACCGAATTCATCTGTCCGCTTTTGAGCCAAACGGACTATACCAATGTGACTGTGAACTGACTCACCCTTACGCTAAAGTGATGACGTAAATCCTAGTGGGGGGATCATGCAGGAAGCAGATGTAAGTCCCCATGACTCCGAGCGTGGTGGCGGCTTTCTGTCCGTGTTTTAAGTTATGATATTGTATTGCTTTTAAATATTGGTTTGTATTTATATTGGACTTGAGTACAAGTGGTCACGTTGCTAGATGGTTGACATGCTCCGACGTGACGTTAACGTGTCACTCACTCACTCACTAAGTGACGAAGAAGATCCAGGTTAGACATGGTCTTCAACAACTTGTGCTTGTCTTACAAGGCGAATTACTGGATCGAATGGTCAGCCTAGCTGACTCGTTTGAAGCACGCCATAATAATCTCTTCTGACTGTTTTCACAGGTAAGTCCTTGAATACAAAAAAATGTGTCTTTGTCACGAACAGGATGAAGTTGTAAAACCGATTATCAACTGAAACTAGCATTGTTTTATAGTGCATATTATTTATTTGCCAAGTAAATGAAGAGATGATACTTTGTTGATGACTCTCTCTTGTGTCTGTATGAGACGCTTCATGCGCTCATTACCGCCTATCTTTTATAAGATGAATCTACCTCTATAGTTGAATGATAATCAACTGTCATTTCCATCCATACGTTTAAAGGACTTAGCATCTCCGACTGACGCGAATTAAATATATATTCTGAACCAAGAAAGCGATAAATGACTGTATGAAAGTGGAAAGATAAAGTTTATAATGTTTGGGTTATATAACGAAATGTATAGGCTTTGAGAACATTAATGTCTTCAAGGGCACATCGAATGTCAACCACATGTATTTGAACAAAGAATAATCCTAGGCCACGCTTCTCAGAATATTGTCAGTGAGTGAGTGAGTTCAGTTTTACGCCGCTTGTAGCAATATTCCAGCAACATCACGGCGGGGAAGACCATAAATGGGCATCACACATTGTAAACATGTGGGAAATCGAACCCGGGTCTTCGGTGTGACGAGCGAACGCTTTAACCACTAGGCTAACCCACCGCCCCTAGAGTATTGTCAGTGCTCCATGATTGTCTCAGTGACGATGTTGTTCAGCCGCATTGTATGTGTGTTCTCTCAGTGTGTGGTAACACATCAGGTGCACAAATATACGAAGGGAGTCTGGTACATTTTGGAAAGAATATTAGACCAGAAAGGACTGAGGACAAGGACAGAGTCGTCCTCAAGACTTCGCTGTTTAGCTAAGTGTGACGCGATCCTCAGTGTTCAAAGTGCGTCCGTTACGACGATGATGGAATCAAAGAAGAAGTTGTTAAGGAGGACCGCCATGAGCAACCACTTGGTGATTGGATATAGGGCGCTATACAATTGGATTATTATTATTATTATTATTAAGGAGGTGCTGAATGGCTGGCAACCTCACGTCGACGATTATGTTCTTAAATGTGGTAAGTTGAAATGTGGCTGTAAGTTGATAAGTGAGTGAGTGAGTTGGGTTTCCAGCAATATCACGGCTGAGGACACTGGAAATGGGTTTCAAACATTGTACCCATGTGGGGAATCGAATCCAGGTCTTCTGTATGACGAGCGAACGCTTAACCACAAGGCTGCCTCCCCAGTTGTCTGTTAGAGCTTAGGACCATGATACAATACAATTGGGTTGCATCTTGAAAGTCTGTGACCAAGCTATGTATTTAGATACATCAGCGTCGCATGCCTCAATATTCTATTTCATGGTCAGTTGTCTTTCTCGTCATGCTGCAGTGGTTAAAGCGTTCGCTTGTCACGAATGGTCAAGTTTCAAATCCCTACATGGTTACAATGTGTGAAGCCCATTTCTGGCGTCCCCCGCCGTGATATTGATGGAATATTGCTAAAAGCGGCGCAAAACACATCTCCTTCACACACTCACTTCTTCTGAGGATCTGATACTTGACACATAACGCATTCTTGCATCGTAATCTTCATTATACCTTATTATCTGTGATGACAAGCTTGAGATGGTCGTCTGTAAATGTGTAACGCACTGTTTTGTTCTGTCAATGTCTCCAGACAATGTCTCCAGTTTTCAGAACATCCTGCTTGTCCAGCGAAGGAAATTTGAATCCCATTGGTCCCTAGTACGGTGATCTACCTTCAGTTGTTGGCAACCTATAGCCTGATTTTATATTGTATTGTAATTTATAGTTAATATATTTTAGATTTAATTACTAGACTTGTGATAATCTGGTTGTTTTACTGTCCTTTGTTGACAGGAAAGTATATTATATATATTTGTTTATATTCATTTATAAATTTACAACTTTCTTAGTCACGATATGGCTGAAATACTGCCGATGTGACTTTAAATTTTAACTCACTCACTCACTCCTTTTTGAAAATCTCGATATATATATTCACACTGTTCACAAAAACAAACCTTTCGAAATAAAAAATACAATAAAATAAAAAACATGAGTAAATACTGAATATGTTCTGTCTTACTATCTCCTAATTAGGACTTAACTATCTCCTAATTAGGTGATACTATCTCCTAATTAGGACTTAGCTATCTCCTAATTAGGTGATACTATCTCCTAATTAGGACTTAGTACTTCAAGTAACAAGTTTTATTTCAGATTTTAGCATAAGGATGAGTGTTGATGACGTATTGGAGTTCCTGCGATCCCGAAGTTTGCCAGATCGTGCACTTGAGAGGATACAAGAGGAAAAGGTGAGGATGTGTATGTATTGTGCTTTTTTGTGAGAGTCTGTAGATGTAGATACATTTTTTGAATCAATGGAGATTGGGAATGCTAAAATATCAATGATGGGAACGAGCGTTGCACCTTTATATCTTGATTCATTGTTTATTGAAATTACAGTGTTTAGCGTTTTATATCATGTTGTACACAAGACGCCAATCATTAGATCACCTGATTATCCAATGGAAGATTGAATTATTTTGATGGTGTAACGTGACGTCATATGTCACCTCTTTTCTCACTGATCCGTGAAGGTCCGGGTTAGAATGAACCTGCAGTAACCCATGCTTGTCGTAAGAGGCTACTAACGGAATCGGGTGGTCAGGCTCGCTGGCTTGGTTGACACATGTCATCGGTTCCCAGTTGCGCAGAAAGATGTTCATGTTGTTGATCACTGGATTGTCTGGTCCAGACTCGATTATTTACAGACCGCCGCCATATAGCTGGAATATTGCTGAGTGCGGCGTAAAACTAAACTCACTCACTCACTCTTTTCTCACAACGAAGTCATCCTAATTTCAGAATTGTTGCGGTAGTAATATATAGAGACTATAGTCCGATCACATAGTTTGTCACATGACGTATACGAAACGAGTGTGAAGTTTTGTTATTTCCCGAGCGAGAGCAAGGGTTATACATATATCTGCATGAGTTTCGTATAAGTCATAAGACACACTTAACCAGGTAATAATATTTTTTACCTGTTCTATTCAATATGAATCATGTAAACTTAGCAAACTGCCCGGCTCCCAAGCGACGAGCCGCTTCAGTGACGTCAAGATGAATTGTTTCATGGCGTCACAGATCACGAAATAAAGAAACTCGGCGCAAATACAATGTTTGCAAGACAAAGTGATATGTGTACATGTGCTCGTATTGAAAATACGTCCTCGGTTATTTTTGGCCAAATGGATATTAAGATGGTGCCATTCTAAATATTGAGGTTGATTACTTTTTAAGGATCTATTTTAAGTACAGTTTATTTCTCCCATTGCAGATTGATGCCGAGACTGTGCTTGGGAGCGATGACCAAACCTTAGCCCGATTTATTCCTACATTAGGCGATCGTATTGCTTTGAAGAACTTTTGTGCAAAAAACCAAAAATCCTTAAATACAACTGAAACAAAAAGATCACGTCTATTTGGGATTTTAAAAGCAAAAATGAACGCCATGGACAAGACTAAGTCGTCACCTTCCACATCATCTCCAAATGCACATGCGAGAAAAATGACAAGAAAAGTTGAGTTCGGTTGGATCCATAAAGGCCGGCAAGTGAGAAAGCGTCTTGGTGGGGGATGTAGGAAAGTTGATGTTGATAGAAATGCTTCCAAATTCCAGCTGCTTCACATAGGGAAAGGACTCTTCTTTCCCGAGGGTCTATCCACGAAAGGAAAGGAAGAGGAATTTGAATTTGATATCCTTGATTTCAAAGAAACCCCACTGCCGCCTACTTCAACTGTTAACGAGTGCTATGAAGTTTTCAAAACAGGACTTGTAACTTTCTATCTCCACACATCTGATAAAGGTCAGGGTCAGAGTTCAAGTGGTCAAAGTGCAGGTCAGGGTCAGAGTTCAAGTGGTCAAAGTGCAGGTCAGGATCAGATTTCAAGTGGTCACAGTGTAGGTCAGGGTCGGAGTACAAGTGCTCGAAGTGCAGGTCAGGGTACCACTGCCAAACTGGATGCATCAAACACTACAGAAATATATCACGGGAAGCAGTCGGGACTGTACACTATTGATGCTACTGACATACTGGGTGAAGCTGCTGCCTCTGTTGGGGGATTCCCTGATGATGACTTCGACTTGCCAGATATAAATGTTGGTGACTTTGACTTCAACTTCACCCTAGCAGGAGGAGGTGTTCCCACGGAAACGAAGGATGTTCAATCGGTTGAAATGACAATTCACCGTGGGTCACTCGTGCTATCGGAGTTGTGCAGCTATTTCAAGGACGCTTCCATTATGAACAAGATCATAAACATCGTACGCATCCTTCCTAATGGTGATATAGAAAAGGCTCAGGATACAGGCGGTGTCTTTAAAGATACTCTCACGGAGTTCTGGGAACTGTTCTACAGTCAGTGTACAGTTGGCCGTGATGTCAAGGTTCCGTTCCTGCGACATGACTACGGGCAGGAAGAATGGAATGCTGTTGGTCGCATTCTTGTTTACGGTTGGAAGCATCAAGGATACTGGCCAGTGAAGATGTCTCACGTCTTCCTTCACCACTGCCTCTTCCCTCAGCTACCCATACCTCAGGACAAGCTTCTGGAAAGCTTTTACGGATTTATTTCATCGGTTGACAAGGACGTATTTACAAATGCTGTCCAGAATTTCGCAGATGCCGACATTGATGAAATCATTGAAGCCCTGGAAGAACATGAGTGTAGAACAGCTATCAACAGAGACAATATTCTTCCTGTAATCCTGGAAATAGCACACAAAGAGCTGATCCAAACGCCGATGTACGTCAGTGACTGTTGGCGCGACATCATTGGCGTAGTTCACATGACAAGCGCCCAACTGGAAAACGTCTACAAATCTCTGGTACCAAGCAACAAGGGTGTCATACAGATTATGAAGTTCCCTCCTTGTAATACCACTGAAGAAAACACAACCGTGAAACACTTAAAACGATATGTGAAAGAGCTGGATGCTAAGAAGCTTGGCATGTTTTTGCGGTTTTGTACTGGATCTGACTTGGTGACAGTTGAACAGATAACAGTTGAACTTCTTCCGATGAAGCCGTTTGAGCGAAGACCTATCGGACACACCTGTGGCTGTGTACTTCAGATTGGAGAACACTATGACACATTTGCAGAATTTCGATCTGAATTCGACAGTGTACTGGACAGCAACATATGGGTAATGGACATTGTGTAAGTGTCGAACAGACTGTTATCTCGACAACATGATCTTTCCTTTATATGCCAGATGGTTATGTGTTCTCACAACTGATCAGGATATGGTTTTGTAGTTTACAGTTGTGAAGGACAAAGGTTTTGTCATTCTTTGAATGTTCACGAGTAACCCGAGATAACTTTTCTCCCTTTTTGTTTCTTTATCTTATTAATGAACGTAACATCATTGAAAGATTTTACATTTTCAAATTTGCCAAAGCAGGCAGAGTTATTCTATTTTGATACTGGTTCTTGTGACAATTAGACGTAAGAGAATTTTTATTTCAAAACCAATCTTTAGTGTTTCATTACTTGGTTGTTGTTTACGAGTTGAATGTTTTGATAAACATCATGAAGGCACTTGACAATGAAGACATTATGTGCCTTTGTTCCTTCTATACAGTAGTCATTAATAATTCATCAATGTTATGTAATAGTATGCAGGGGTTTTATTTGCAGTAAAGACAGCATAAGATAATGGATATATGTGGGAATAATGACATTGATGGGGAACTGAAACAAAGTTGATTTACATTGTATGTTCTGGGTTTTTTTCCAATACATGTAATATGTTATGATCACTTCATGTTTTGTTATGTTTTACACGACAGAATTAAATATCATCAAAGGCATACAATACGGTTTGATGCAATGCCAATAACATGCAATCCAAACGTTATTCTGCTGTGTTTTAGATGTTGTGTAATAATAATATCAATAATAAAAAAAAAGGATATTATATGAGTGCCCATGCCATATGATGTTTAAGACAGGAGTGCCTGAATATAGGTATTTCCAGAGCAAGAGTGAGGCATATGCTGAAATTAGGCACGAATGTCGTAAACATAATATTGTATGGGTACGAATATAATGTTCTACTTATTACCGAAGACGAAAATATGGGGAAATGCGCTGAAGGCTTCCCACCGTCGCCGCATAAAGAACGCAACGTCATAGAAGAAACTTGACATCATAGAATTGTGCATGACGTCACGTTACCATTACCCCGTTACCATAAGTCTGCCCTCGTAGGTAATAGAGTTCTAAGATGCTTTGCGGTAAGTACAATCGGAAAAAGTACTTTATCAGACAATAAAGGTATAGTTTTTTCATGACGTAACCAAATTCAATGACGTTACCAGTTGTTTCACGCTCTCCCCTCGTAATGATACTAATCACGCTTGGCCACAGTAACTAAGGTTTACAGGCTCGGCCTACTTTTGCAGGAGGAAGACTTTGAAATTACAAGGTGAGCAAGGTGGCCAATTGAATAATTTTGTAACCTAGGGGATGGGGTCTGTCCATAGAAGCCCTGTTATTGATTATTAACAACCGCTTTTTATTTTCTCAAAATAAATCGAAATCTATAAATTTCTGCGGCATCTTAGAAAAGAAATAAAGTTCGATCTACCCCAGTGGGTTTTGTAATATATTGGAAATGTTAAACTATAAATTGTATATCTATATACTTATCCTATCTCACGGTATGCACTTCTCTCTCTTCTTCGACCAAAGCGTGGAAACGTGCTGCAGGCTAAGTTGAATCAAATCTTCTGGGCCTCTCTCCCACCTGACCTCTCCCCTCACTCCGATTGCTGGACATGTCAATCATCTCTTAAGCGTGCTAAGCGCTCACATGCTCACGTGACATCCCACTACTTGTCATTCTCTTTTTGTCACTCACCAAGGTGGACGTGTGTTGTTCACTCGGTTTGCCACTTGTTCTCATTGGATTTCATCATCGGAAAAAGCAATCGCTCTTCAAGACAAAGGAAGCATTGTGATAAATACATTAAAGTACTGTCGGAAATGCTAGAAAAATGCTTTTAAGCCTTAATATCTTGAGAAAGGTGACAAATGTATTATGTTGTCAATATATCAACTCACCTATAGTGTACCTAATTTTTATTTCAATTGATTTAACATTCCCATGCATTTAAAGGGCAGTTTACAGGAGAGAATTTGGTTCCAAAACAACAACTTAAGATTTTTTCAGAGTTCAACAACAGAAATCTGAAATAGTCTTTACAATTATGCCAATAATACAGTTGGTGTAAAAATATAAATTAACGTTTTTCTTAAACAAATAAATGTTGAATGTTTGTGTTACTTTACTTAATTATCGTTTCTTTATTGAAGAAATATTAATATAAATGTTAAGTCTTGATAAATAAGTTTCCCGTCATGCATGCACATCTTTATCACAGCGTCAACTATGGCCAACTATTTGCAGACGATTGTTGCAAAGGTTTATACGTGTTTTGTTCTTGAAAAAGACAGAGGTAATCCTTTCATTAGTATAGAAATGGTTTATTACAGAACTTCTAGAGCTGTTGGTATGTCTTACCAACAAGTTTACAATATTGTAAACAAATCAGACAAGACAGGTACCGTCTCAAAAGCAAAACCGGGACGTAAAACCATCCTACGTCTACAAACTTTAGGAGAAGAAGAATAAATATATATATTCTAAAGAAGCTACACCAGTGACTTCGTTAAATCTTTGGCCAATGTTCACAACTAGATTAAACTGACCGAATTACATCCTTATTTTTGCAATGAAATATACTGTTGACATGCAAAACATTTATTAAAACGTTGCACATTTCTACAATCAATCGATACGATAACACAAGTGGTAGGATTCTTTCCAATGTACAGTAATTCGTATGTTTATTTCACAACAAACACACATACCCAAATGATCCCTTACATAACCAATACGTATACTATACGTACACATATTCAACATTTTGAAGAAAACATCTATTGAGATGACCCTCGCCCGAGCGTGTGCTCAGGTGTCAATTTCACCTGTCGATACCGTGCATGCTGATGACGTAACACAGACAGTTAATGTTTGTATCAAATAACGTCCCACTACCCCTTATTTTTCTAAGTTTTTGGTATTTTCATCAGTAAAAACGCATTTTAGGGCATGTCTCAAAATTTATTCCCTAGGTCTACATTAGGTAGATGTTTCTTAAAGTGATATTTGTTATTTTAGTAACTGTAATACCTCTGAATTTTAAATATAAGTCAAAAAGCCTTTTTCTAGCATTTCCGACAGTACTTTACCAATTATTCTGCTGGTGCCCCTCACACGTTGTGTGTTGATTGTAGAGGATGGTGCGAATGCTCTCGTCGTTGTTCCTACTGTTCGCCGCTGATGACGATGCTTTTTCTGCCAATCGCCGTGTTGGTTCGAGGCGTGTGGCAGATAGAGACCGTCGGAGACCTTCCAAGGGTCCCTCATCCTCCAAGCACCCTAAGAAAGATAGTTCATACAAGCACGCGGCACGTCGATCCTCGCCATCACCTGATGAAGATTTTTTGGAAGCAGCATTGGATTCGTGTCTTAGTGAGAAATTACGTCGTATGTTTCGTCCGCAAACTTCCAGTCCTTTCACGAGACAGTCTTGACAATACTCTTGACAATAATATTTTCGATTTTTTTTAACAATACATCAGTTCATGTGTAAACAGTAACTTTGAACAGTGTGGAATATTTTGCAAAATCTAGTTTAAAACAGTTGACTGAAGTAAGTGGCTACATTTACACTAGTGAGTCTAAACTATTAATGGTTTGTATACCTAAGTTTCACTTTTCAATCCAGTTTCTTCTAACTGTGTTCATATATAAATATCTGAATACAAAAAATGTGGCTTTGTCAGGAACAGGATGAAGTAACTGTTGCAAAACCGATAATCAATTAAAACTAGCATTGCTTTACAGTGCATTTTATTTGTTTGCAAAGTTAATAGAGAGATGATACTTGGTTGATGACTATATCTTGTGTCTGTATAAGGCGCTTGATGTGCTTATTACCGCCTATCTTTTATAAGATGAATCTACTTCAGTAGTTGAATGATAATTGACTGTCATTTCGATACGTTCAAGGGACCTTAACGGCTCCGACTGGCGCAAATTAAATATATATACAGAACCAAGAAAGCGATAAATGGCTGTTTGAAAGTGGAAAGATTGTTTAGATTATTTGAGTTAGGTTTTATGTAAGAATAATATATAACATAGAGTATAGGCTTTCAGTACATCATTGTCTTCAAGGGCACTGAATGTGAACCACGTACATTGCAACAGAGAATAATCATAAGACAGTCACGTTTCTCAGTGTCAGTGATCCAAGATTGTCTCAGAGACGATGCTATTCAGCGGCATCGTATATGTGTTCTATCAGTGTCTATTGCTCTGTGGTAACACAGTAAGTGCACACATTAACGATGGGACTCTGAAAAGTTTTGGAAAGAATGTTAGACCAGCAAGGGATGAGGACAACGGCAGAGTCGTCCTTGCCCCGTCATCTTCAAGACTTCGCTGTTTTGCTAAGTGCGCCCGTGATCCTCAGTGTTCAAAGTGCGTCCGTTACGATGATGATGGAACGAAAGAAGAAGTTGTTAAGGAGGTGCTGAATGGCTGGCAACCTCACTCCGACGTTTATGTTCTTAAATGTGGTAAGTTGATAAATGGCTGTATGTAAAGCCGGGTTTCCATGTGGGCGAAGTGCTTAGTGCGGGATGCGTAGTGCGTAAACAACACTTTATATACTAAAATAGTAATAGCCGTTACCATGCACGCGTCGTGCGTGCTGTGTAGAACGTCGTGTGTGATTTTGCTTATGCTCAAAAAATGTCCGACCCCGCATCATGCAGCTATACGGAGGCCGGAAGTAGGGATTCCCATGGGGTTTTCCCAATGTCACGTGGCTTTCATGGCAAACACAAGTTGCAAAATGCCAAGGAATTTGATGCCCGAGATACTTCTTGACAAATTAATTGAACTGTCCTTCTTTGTATCAGGAGTTCATGCACCCACCACAGATGCCTTCGTTTTTTTGGTTTTTTTTCACATAACAGTACAATTAACCTGTAATACTCACATCATCATCATCATGTGTTATGTATGTTAGTTCTCTAGCGATCTCTGAGAAACAAGGTATGTAGACAGCGACTGTGATCAGTACGATCTAGAGGGAAAGAAAGACTTGACTTTATGCATCACTTATCCTTTATACACGTACTCATGGAATTGGACACTATGCATACGTAATAGGCACTACGCATCACGCAATTACGCAGACAATGCGTACACAAGGAAACCTAGCTTCAAAAAGGTCCATGATACAATGCAATACGTTTTGCATCTTGAAAGTAGGTGACGCAGCTATTTAGATACATCAGAGCCCCATGCCTTCATATTTTTCATGATCAGCTGTCTTTTTGGTCCTGCTGCTGAGGGGTAGCCTCCTGTTTAAAGTGTTTGCTCGTCACGCCGAAAACCCGGGTTCGATTCCCCACATGGTTACAATGTGTGAAGCCAATTTCTCCTGTTCCCCGCCGTGCCATTGAATATTACAAAAAGCGGCGTAAAACCTAACTCACTCATTCACTGCTTCTGAGGATCTGACAAAGATAGTACTTGACTTATGACGTATTTTCGCATCTTAATCTGTGAACACAAAATTGAGATGGTCGTCTGTAAAATGTGTCAATGTCTCCAGACACTGTCTCCATACTTACAATTTTCAGAACCTCCTGCTTGTCCAGTGATTAACAATTTCCT